TTCAACCGAGGATTCATCTGAGAAATCCACCTTCTGCCACTTTTCCAGTGTCCATCCTTTTAGCAGGCTGTGGGCCTTGCAAATGCCACACGGTTTTTTAATTGCCTTTTTTTTTTAGTGCTGGTTTCTGTGCACTGATTCGACCATGGAGGCCATTTTTCCAGAGACAGAATTCTACAAACTGTTCTGGTTGACACAGGAGACTTGAGGTGACCAGGCCTGGTGGAGCTCTGCTGCAGTGGAAAAGGGGCTGGCCTTGGATTTTCAAATCAACAAACGGTCCTCCCGAGCAGTTGTCTTGCGGGGTCTGCCGGACCTGGGCTTGTCAAAAACATCTCCAGTCATTTCAGATCTTTTTCTTATTCTTTGTACTTGACACTGAGACACATTGAAGGTGTCAGCCACCTCAGCAGTGGATCTGGTCTTCAGCCTCTTGATAATTAACGCTTTGGTCTCAGGGGTGGATCTTAGGCATGTTGTCAGAGGTCAAGTTGCAGTTGATGTGAAGGTCTGCTGTGCTGGGGTTCTTTTTTATACACACCCACTAATTGATTGATCAGTAACTGATCACAGGTGAGGCTGTAATCTAGGATTGGGTGCATCATATGACAAGGCGACAAGACTTTTGTCTTGCCAAAATCTGACCTTTCTGTGTTCATTAAATGATCAATCTTTCTTCAGTGAAGCAAATTTATTTTAGTATATTGAGCATAATTTGGGAGGGTTTTAGCTTTCATATGAGACATTTCTAAAACCAGTCAATTAATTTAAAGTCAGGTTATAAGCTTTTGTTTCAACAAAATGGATAAGCGACAAGACTTTTGTCAGGGACTGTACATGTATTGGGATTGGACCAGTCAGTGTGGGGAAAGTGGGATGTGCTTGGATGAGCGCTGAATCATCTATCCTCTAGCTGATCACCAACTAACTGCAAACTTCAAAAACCTTGATGAGCACCTGTGATCAAGTATCTGTGATCTGAGTGAGCACTCCCAGTATCTTATCCTCAGCTCCCACTGCTTGCCACCGAATGATGTTCTGCTGTAACCCAAGAAAACTACTGAGATATTTGAATCAGATAAACAGCCAGGACTGTGGGCTTTTAAAAAAGCAGAAAACAGACAATTGGACAAGGTACTATTTTCATGGCATTGCAGATACAGTCTAATTTGACATGGTGCTGGTGCTGTCTACAGATATGGACGTGTGCCGAAGGCTGTAAAATAACATTTTCTAATCATAATTTAAATATCTCTCTTCAACTGTGCATCTACAGTGTCATCATCAGTGTGCGTACATTCTCAGATCTAATCTGCTACTGAGTACTTGAGACACACATAGGTCCACTGAAACTCATAACTAGGTTTGTAATGGCTTCTTTATCTGTCTATGTTTTACACTATAAATAAAATGTAGTAGAGTGAAGGTTCAAGAATTTGTCAGTACATTATAGGACATACATTTTTGACCAAACCAAAAACTGTTTGGGGTTGCTTTGGAAGCGGTAAAAACATCAGCTGTTTTGAGTTACCTAAAGTTGTGACTCAGATTAATTCAACTTGTTAGAGCTGAGCGGAGGTTCACATAACAGCCTCAGTGTCTGCATTGAGCATCTGATCCAATTAGCATCAATGTCTGTCATGAGGTCGTCCTGTTTCTGAGGCAGCTTCAAGATCTCACGCTTCAAAGGGCCTCACTGTCCACCTGTCCTTAGGTTTACTTTGTATTTTACTTCTAAAATGTGAATTAGAGCAGTCAAATATAGAGACTTTTCTTGTCCCATCTCAAGTACAGGTTAAACAGTTCCTAACCCATTAGAAAACAACAACACAAAGACAACAACAACAACATTTATCAGTTTTGTGTCTAGAGAAAAAGTTCCATAGAAATAATTTTTGTAAGAATTGTAAATTCCTAAATAATGGAAAATGGAACAATAAAAACAAAATAGAAATTGAACTGCTGCACAGGTTTACTTTTATAATCTAATAATTGTCAATTAAGTCTGGTTCTTTGACTGGAGTGCAAAGGCTACTGCTTGTAATTTAATAACTTCTTCTTTGAAATTGATCCAAAATAATTCAACAGTCAACAGTTTAGCCTTTTGTTTTTTTATGATTTTGAATCTTGATAAATCTAACTCGATACAGAATGATATCTGAAAAAGTTTTTCTAAGAATTAAACTTGAATGGAATCTTTGAATGGAAAATCCACTCTAAATTGTTACACAACAAACCTTTTTCCAATATTTTTTGAAGGATGTATTCTTATCTGTGCTGTCTCACAGAGTCTTGCACTTTTGTGGTGAGATATTTGTTTTTTAATTATTAATGAATTAAAATGACTTCTTTCAAAAACCTAAGCTGCTTAGATCGTTACACTGGGTGGCTTTAGATTTCCAATGGACATTGCCACTGATGAAACAATTTTTTTTATAACATTTTAGTGGATTTAAACAAAACATGCATGTATAGACAAGATGTTTGCACTATTCTCTGGTGGCCTGTGAGGTTAAAAAGGGTAAAATAATAAGGGTGTCTGCTTTACATGTACATACCATGTACCATATAAATTCACACAGAAACAATTAATGAAAAAGTCCTGGTAATTTGCTTTAAGTAATTTTTCTGGTTATTTTGGTGCAGTTTTGACCAGCCTCACAAACAAAAGTACACATCAGTTTAGAAATGTTTTGCATTATGAGGACACCCGCAGCTTTAGAACAACTTTTCATTGTGTGTTCTTTCATCCCTACTGATCTGAGATTATAAAACTGTAGTTACAACTCTCATTGTTCATATTTAAAATAATAATAATTATTATTATTATCATTATTGTTATTATGCAAAGACTGGAGTGGTCTGATTTTGTTAGAACTGCTTTTATAATATAGCTCATGGAAGGAAAACAGTAAATGTTACCCATTTACAAGAAAAAAGTTGTATCTGATGCAGGTACTAAATGCAAAGGAAAAAGGAATTTGCAGGTTTTTGAAGTCTGTAGGTTTTCCATGGGCCAGGGGACCTCACCTTACACCCAGAGTTTTGGGACCACTAAGGTCTGTTTGCATCGTGATCTATTAGGTAAGACGTCTATCTGAGTCTGAGATGAACTGCCCTTTCAGTATAAATAACTGTACAGATGTTGGTTGTATATTGAAAGTTTCCTCTGGGTTCACTGTGTGCTTTAGCTATCATTACATAATATCTCATGTTTCCATTCAAATTGACTTAAGTCTGCTTTGCTGCAGTGATTCAGGCCAATCAGGTGCTTCCCCTTTTAATCCAATGATCACTTTGATTTGGGCTGGACGCTGTGTGATTGTATTTTACTAATAAACCTTTAGAGAAGAACCTGCCACAGACTGGTCACAGTCATTCCCCAAGAGGCACCAGTGACTCATAAATAATATCAAACATTTAGAACTGTTGACAGAGTGGTTAGCAGCAATTGTAACTATAGCAGCAGTGGGTATTTTTGACATCTCTTAACCTGAACTCTACTGAGCATTTTATTACAGTTGTACTATATGATGATATTCATAATATGACCTGCTGACCTCATGAAATGGCTGTTAACATTGGACCATAGTTGACAGTCATAGCAAATGGTAATACTTTTATATGTTTTTATTATTGCATAACAGTTCAGCTGAGTATTCAGAGGCTCTTATGAGTGCATAACCAAATCCTCTGTAAAGTTACTGAGACGCTTGTTGAGTTTGATATCGCCTGTCATGAGTTGAGAGAAGGTGTGTCTCATATGACTCCAGGACACGGGATGTGCAGTGTCATGCTTTGAGAGGGGAAAGGCACGGCTCCATTCCCACAGTGCGCTGCTGCAGACTGGTCACTGCCGGGTCACACTGGACAAAGACATTAGTCCAGGCTATTACACACATGTTACCACTGTAACATCGGCCTCTGTGCTCGTTTAAAAGAAAAACAAAACAAACGACGCACTTAGAATGACTGTAATTAGCTAAAGGTCACATAGATAACAAACAGAATCTAAAGGACAAGAGTTGCATTGTGTAGGCGAATTTACTCTGGTGTTTATGTCTGTCAGTAATTATGAAAGTACAGCTGGAGCAACCTGTCAGGAGCAGGGAACCCATCTCGGGGACCCATCTCCAGATCTTAAGCTAAGCTTGATCAAGACTTCCTTAACTGGAGGCTTTTACCTAACTAAGTCAAGAGCCATTGTCCAGACTGGTATCATAGAATTCAAGAGTTCACGGTTATGTTTCATGTTCAGTAAATATTTTAAATTGAGAGAGGCAAGCATGCTGTTGCTGTGTCCTTGAGCAAGACACTTCACAGTTTACTAGCACACAATAAGGAAGGATGGCTTTAGGGAGTCTGTTGGTAAACGTCTGCACCATGCTCTCACAAATGACATTAAACAGTTAGACTCAGCCCCCTCCTCTGCTTCATCTCAGGGCCAAGATTGTATCACCGAGATCTACAGCACAACAAGCATGAAACTGTTCAGAACAGGACAAGCTGCTATTTCAAGTGCCCACCCAACATGCATGCTGATATGTCCCACAGCACACAGTCCACAGAGACACCAGGGCAGCTGCAGTAACATCAGTCTCAAAGGATAACTGTCTGTTTATTTAAGCTATAGCAGGACCAAAATGTTTTTTTTATTTTATAATCATGAGAACAATTTCCTCAGATCCTTAAGACTGATGAGCTAAAGTCACAGTAGTAGCTTGAAGTAGAGCCACTGCTCCTCCAAAGGTTAGTTGTCCAAAGAGTTAGGTGTGCTGGGCATGTCCCAGGAGGCCTTGTGTGTAACACACGCTGAATGAACACTGTAGACAAACTAGAACAAGTGCGAGTGGACAGGGAAGAGTGGGCATCTCTCTGTGTACTGCCCCCTGGCCAGGTTGGACAGGAACAGGAGGAACTGTGCCAAAACGCCCTCTTTCTTCATTTGAATTAAGCCTAAAGGTGTTGCAAATAATGTGTCGTATATATTTAAACTTTTACATTATATTCCAATATGATTATAAAATATTTTAGATAAACGTTAAACGTTATCTTATTTTTTACAGGCCTAGTCTTTCCACATGAGCCTGTAAGTAATAACCTGTGGTTACAGTTTTATGTGAATTGAAGAAAAATGATTGCGACATCGATTCCTTTTGCTTCTGGGACAGTCATTTGAGGACATCACATGGGTTCCACTGCGGCTCGGTGTGTTTGATGCAGTGGGAGAGAGGCGTGTCGGTCCCGTCCGGTCCAGGCGGTCCACTCTGCGCTCATAGACTTCATGTGATGCCCGCAGCCGAGAGGAGGGAGCGACGGAGGCGTGGAACTAAAATAAACACTTTTCCCCAACATCCAGGCTGCACCATTTGGCATCGGACTGCATGCGGTAAAGTGCATGCTCCCTCACGGATACCTCTGACCGGAGAACTGCGGACCGGATCATGGGAGATGCTCAGTCTGCACAACGGGACGGCAAGAGCGAGGCAGCGGCGGAGGAGCAGAGCGCAGTGGAGGATAGCCCAAGTGGAGAAAGCACGCATGACAAGGTTTGGAAGGATTTATGTTGATCTAAGTATGATGCCGCAAAACCAACTGACACATTTGTTTGTTATTGACTTTTTGTTGTGGCTGCAAGTGGATGACAGGGATGGATATGCCTGCGCTGCGTATTTGGCTGTGCCTACTTTGCTTTTGTCAGGATACTGCGGGACCGAGCCAAGATTTAAGACTTAAAATGCAGTGATAGTTACAAAGCAGTTTCCCGTAGATAAGCAACATGCATCTACATTTCTGCCATCTTAATTTTACTAATCTGTCTGGAGAAACAGATTTTTAAAAGCCTGTAACTGTCAGCCTATAACAGTGTATAAAAGATGCTGAGTTGGTCCAGTACTTTGTGGCTGTTTAATTTGATAATGTTGATGCAAGAATTGTCCTTGCCAGGCTATTGCAGCAAGTAACATGTCATTTTATCTCTCATATACCTTTTACATTTATGAATTAGTCACCTTTACTGAGGCTTAAAAACACCAACCCCTGAACGTGAGTATTTTTGAGGTTTAGACCAACTTCATAAACAAGTCTATGGTCCCAGCATGGAAGAACTAGTGCCATGGAAGAGCCTGTACACTCAAAGTTCTTAAGTAACGTGTGTATTTACAATATTGATTGATTGATGTTGTCTGGCTAAACTTATCTTGTCTTTTTGCAACATATGTTAAATAGACAAAGTGAAGCTATATAGAGTACAAGGGTAGAAAAAAGCTTTAAAATGGATGCATTAATCTTTCTGATTCAGGATCAAATGAGAAATCATAACACAATTATAAGGACTAAATCAATATCATAAATATTGTATTGTCAAATAATGTTTTAAATAGAAATCAGTCCACACATGTTAAAATAACAACATTCACCTTTCTATGAGTCATCTTGTGATATGTATAAAATGAACAAATCAGCAGGTATTGAATGTTGCTTGTAGTTGCAAACAGTTGTGTAATTACTTCACACATTGAAGTGAAAGAACAAATACATTTGGCTTCTTAATTAGTCTTAAGTGACTGTGATTCATGTGGTCTGATTAGACTTGTTTTACAGTAGTTTGAGTCGAGTTTACAGAAAAACAACAAAGACAGCTGGAATAATGACCTTCCTTTCTTAGAGCAGACCCAGGGGGAGGATACAGTTTCTCTTCTCTCAGCAAAAGGACACATTGATTATTTGTGGACAGTGTACGATTAGTAGTTGAAGCTCGTTCAGTCACTTATCTTAGTCCTTATGGAGGCAAATGTGTGCAACTTGGAAATGTAGTCCACCTGTTCAGTGAAAGTGAAGAGAAAGTACGAGTTCTTTAGTTAGTTGTGCAATTATAAGTGCCAGTTCATTGTCTATTCCTGTGATCTTCAAATTGTATCTTTTACCAGTTCACTACATGAAGTTTGTTTACTATTTCACCACTAATTACCTCATCTTTTTACTACTCACTATGTTGCTATCACTGCTTTTACTATTCCTACTACAAATAGAACCAATAACTTTTTTCCACGATGGTCCACACATGTTTAAAAAGGAACGAGTATGTTTTTTACTTAAAATACTGTCATAAAGTACATTAAGTGCATAAACAAGACACATGAAAAAGAGGTCTGCTAAAATAGAACAATGCATTATTATATTCATTTGAAACTGCTCCAGATGGACTATAATTTACATAAAATAAGACAATGGTCATTTAAGTGCATTCTGCAGACTTACAGTACACAGCAATGAAGAACCAATTATCCTATCAGGTAACACATCACGGAAAGACAATGGTGGCAAGATGGTATCAAGTTCATCTAAAAATTATCCAAGACAAATATGGTGGTCTGTAAAAGATGAATGCATGCTCCAAATTACATAATCTGTTTCCCATTAGCAGGTTCGGATTAATATGTGCTGAACCTTTGTCTTAGTGTTGTTTATTGAATTTGGGGCTAAACTTAAGGGCTATTTGCTTCCAATCCCAGCTCAGACCACATAATCAGGATTAAAGATCAGGGACACTAGTGGTGAACTTTGTGACTATACCTTTCTACAAACAACAACTGAATATACAAGTTTGTGCAGTAATAAATGGATAAGATTACATTTTTCAAGTACTTATGCCAGAATAATATTTGCTTTGTAATTTTTTTTTTTTGTATATTCTGCGAGAAGTACAAATTATACATTTTCACAAAGATATAACATTTCCAAATTGTCTGATTATTTCAACATACATTATTAAAGAAGTTTATTTTAATCTTGTTTTATATACACTTAACAATATGCATTTTGTGTTTGCTTTCAGCTGACACAGAACAATGGACAGGTCTCAGAGCTAAATGGAAAGGCAGATGGAACATTAGCAGATGTCAAGGATCAAATTGCTAAAGAAGGTTGGTGATCATAATTTTTATACAGCTTGTACTTCATCTTTTCCGTTTGATTTATGGAAATCTTTTTTTTAATAGCTGTCATCGTGAAGAAGAAAGAGACTTCAGTGACCAAATCGGCGCCTGAAGTCACAAATGTCCAAATTATTCAAGAGGAGTTACCAAATCCAAATGAAGAGGAACCTATTGAAATAATCAACGTGGATGCCAAGCAAAATGACCTGAATGAAAGTTTTAGGAGGTTTTTCAGCAACATCGGGTTAAAATTGACAGTGAAAAAAGGAACAGGGGACCAAGCAGATGATGAGGTAGAAAAAGAGGGAACAGAAAAACTGGATGCTGCGGTGGAAACAGTCAGTGAGACTAAATATGAAGATATTGAACAAACTACAGACTTGAATGCAATGCAAGATAATGATTCAACCACCTGTCCTACTCTAACAGAAGGAACTTCAGATGATGTGGTGGCTGAAACAGTAGAAGAAAATATTACTGAAACAAAACAAATGGCCGATAATGCTGAAGGTCAAGAAGCTAATGTAACCATGAACGAACAAGACGGTAACCAAAAGCAAAATGAAACATTTGAACAATCTTCAGCTAACCAAGAAGAGGAGATTGTCTCACCAATTAAAAAGTTCTTCACAACTGGAATATTTGCGGGTCTAAAGAAAAAGAAGACAGAAGAAGAAGCAGAAGATAAGGAGCTGGTTGATATGAGCAAAAATGATGCAGATACAACAGTGAATCAAAAAGAAACTGTGGAAACTAGTCCCACTGTTGAAGAACAAAAAGACATTGAATGTAAAACAGTACAAGAAAATATGACACAAGCAATGGAACCACCTGAAATTGAAGAGAGAGGTAAATCTCCATCAACAGATCAAGACAGTGAATCAGAAATTACAAGTTCGCAAGAAAAACTTCAATCGAGTCCATTCAAAAGACTATTTTCTGGGACAACGTTTAAAAGACGTTCAAAGAGACAAAAAGGAAGAAGATCGAGTGATAGCAGGCTGTCTGATTCCAGTGAGCACATTGAAAATCAAATTGTGGCATCAAGTGAAAAAACAGAACAGCAAGATGTGGTTGTAGAACCTCCCTCCTCACCTCCCCCTTCAACAACAGAACCAGAGGAAGAACTGAGCGCTTGGGAAGCATTTAAGAAACTCATGACACCTAAAAAAAGTTTGAAAAGGGCGTCTGTAAGCAGTGAAGAAATCCAAGTCCAAGCTGTGGTAGATGCAGAGGTAACAAAGCCCACCGAAGGGGAGCGGATATCTGATCACAGCACAGAGGAGGAGCGGAAAAGAAAGGATTCATCTCATTCATGGGAAGCCGTTTTGTGCGGATCAGGACGGAGGAGAAGTAGAAAAACATCAGATTCTGAAGATGAGCAAAAACAAGATGGTGGTGACGTGGAGAGTCCAAATGAGGCAGGAGATGTTAGGACCTCTACGCCCAAACAAGCAGAGAGTCCGTCAGACAGTGAGAGTTCAACTTGGAAATCTTTTAAGAAACTTATGACACCAAAAAGAAAAGTAAAAGATGATGAGGAAAGCAAAGATACTGTGCAGTCAGACAGTGAAGCAACACAAGAGGAGACATTGTTTTCCATAAAGAAACTACTTCCAGGTCGGAAAAAGAGGAAGTCAGTAGACAAGCAGGATCAACTCTCTTCAGATGAAGGGGAGAATAAGGAAGTGGTTTCAGTGGAGGAAGACTCAGAAACGCCAGCTGTTGTACCACTTTCAGAGTTTGACAAATCTGAGACAGAAGAGGCAGCAAAGACTGATGTGGAAATCCAAGATAGTGACCTGGAATCTGAACAAGAACATATCCTTGAAATTCCCAAAACATTTGTGCAAGAAGTCCAAGAACACCAAGTCACTCCGATAATTCCTTTGAACCAGGATCAAGATGAACTCACAGAATTCAGCAAGTATCAACCTCTAAGTGATATCCCCGAAGAGGGTAACATCACAGAAACAGTAGCTACTTCTTTGATAGAGGACGTAGTTAAGGACGACACAATAGCAGAAGATATGGTAGAGTTAACATCAGAAGCTATTACTGCTCCAGAGCCTGTGGATATCACAATGGCTGATGAGACAGAGGAGCTAATGCTTTCAGCTGCATCCCACTTAACAGAATCCTCAAAGACATCTGGCAATGCAACACCAGTTCCTGTTGAATATGATGTCAAGGATACTGAAGTTTTGCTTAAGGAAGTTGTTGAGACAATTTCTACTGCTACAAAAACTGACATACTTTGTTCAGAAGAACCTATCTTAGAAAGAGTTGTTGGTTCAATCACTCATGAAATCTTTGAAAGATCTGCCAATGAAGAACAACATGTAATGGAAATACATGCACAGTCTGATGCAGTGACAGCAGAAACAGGGTTACAAGTCGACCAACTTAGAGATACTGATGTCGAAATTCCAGCGGCAGTCTTATCAGAAAGTTTGTCAGAATTTAAAGATGCTATTTCAACTGAGTATACATCTGAGGTTTCTAAAGTGGAATTTGAGTCTGCAAAAGTAGAAATTGATGAAATTCACACTGCACAACCAAAAACAGCTGTAAAACAAGAAAGTGTAGATGATAGTGATTATATGATTGAATCCTTATCTGAGGTCCCAGAGTCTGTACAAATACAATTTGATGAAAATGTGGTCCAAGACGTTTTACCAAATGAGTGCCATGAAGGAGAACCAGAGGCAGTAAGAACAGAGTCTACAGAACTATTGTTTGAAGAAAAACTTGAAATAGATAACTTAGTGGGACAACAATCAGACATACAAGTAGATGCACAGCTAATTACATCAGTGCCAGAGTTACCAAAGGGTGAAGTGGATTCTATAATGGAAACAGACAAAGAGGTGGTCATGCAGGAACATAAATTGTTGGGGTCTGCTCAAATTGAGGAAACAAACCAACTAGACCAACCAGAACCCGAAGAGATAATAGATGTGCTATCACTAGAGGGCACTCCTGAGTTGGACATAGAAGTATCCAAAGAACCATCAAACGAACAAGCAGTGGAGGAACTTCAAGAAGTTACAGGGACTAATGTGGAGCTTGAAATTGTTACAGAGGATGATTTTGAAATTGTCTACAAGCACGATGTAGAGGACACACAAGAATCTACACTAGAAAGCCAAAACCTGACAGAAGATGAGACTGAAGTGGTAGCAGTGCAAGAAGAAGAAAGTACGCCCATGGCTGATCTAGCAACTGAAGAAGAAATTATTGAAGATACATCCACAGAGACAACTGAGCAAGAAGTTATTGGTGAGAATGAACAGGATATAATAGAGGAACAGGTTTCTGAAATTAATGTTGAAGCCGATAAGGAAGACATTTTCATCACTGAGGCCACCGCTGAGCCAGAAAGCAGAGAAGAACCAGATGACAGAGATCCACAGGTTGAAGTTTCACAAGTGGAAGATGTCACCAATAAGTTGTTTGGAGAAACTTTTGAAGAGGAACTTGCACCTTCAATAGACCAAGAAATTGTGGAACAAAACATTGAGGAAGTTTCTACAGAGACAGTCCAACAGGATGACACTGGTGATTTGGAAGACAAACCACTCCCCGAAGCTGCTGCAGATGAGACTGATGACCATGTTGAAGTCCTTGAAACAACTGAAAGTCAACAAGAAATGGTAGAAGAAGAGACCAATGTATCTAATGGACTGGTCATTGTATCGTCAACTGAAGAATGTGAAACAATATCCCAACTTGATTATACTGTATATGTAAATGGTGACCATTCAGAAGCTAAACCATCAGAAGCCCAAATAATGCAACTGGACCATAGCCATGAAGTTGCTGAAGACCTTAAAGCCTTACCTGTTGAGCATGTGTCAACAGTTAATGAGGATTCAGGCATTGCCCAAGTTCTTGAAGACACAGTTAATATTGAAGAAAATTTAGAAGTATTTGTATCTACTTCAGAAGAACCACTGCATGAAGCGCATATTGGTGAAATCAAGGTTAATGTAGAGGAAGAATTTGAGGAAGAGATACCATGTCCAGTGACAGAGGTTGCTGAGGTTGAGCATGCTGCACTGCAAGAAGAAAGTACAGCTACTCTACAACAGGTGACTGCAACAATGCCTGACCTTATGATCCAAAAGAGTACTGAAGACAGCGAAAAGATTGCTGAAAAAACCTCTATACCATGTGTGGATAATGCAGAGGTCCTTGATGTGCCTGAACATCAGGTACAGTTTGCTGAGGTTGAACAGGTTGGTATTCAAGGAGAAAAGGAAGAACAAATTGTACCCCTGGAGACCACAAATGTGGATGTACAGCACATGTTGGTGGCACAACAGGTTACATGCACTTCCAAAGATGTTGTGTCACATGTACCTGATGCATCCATTGAGACAACAACAACAGAACATGAACCAGTTTTCGGCACGGTTGTAAGTGAGCATGAAGAAAATGAAGCCATTGAAACAACAACACCCTTAGAAGTAAATAACACTCCCCAAGTGGCAAAGGAAAGTACAGCTGTTGTTCTAATGCATGTGCCAGGATTAGAATTTGAAGATAATCATCAAGTCCAAGTACAAGTGGTCAATGTGGATATCCAGTCTGCAGAGGCAGGAGTGGATACTGCCCTGGAAATTGGTGTTCAAGAGGACAAAGAAGTTGTGGATACTTGCTACGAAACAGTTGAAAGATTGGGCAGTTATTCAGCTACCTCAAATATTGAACAAGAGATAATGAGCGAAAAGGACAAAGTGGCTATTCAAGAAGTTGTTCAACATGTAAAAGAACTGGTCCCTGAATCAGAGGAGGAACCAGAAGATAAAGAACTACCAGTTGATTTAGTTCAGAGTAAATTAAGTGAAGATCAGAAAATGATTGAGTCACATGATGAAAAGGCTGATGTTATACTAGACTCTGCAATGACAACTAAAGAGCAAGGGCTTACTAAAATGGATGACGATGACAAAGATGTTCAAAAACAACCATCCGTACAAAGCCAGATTTCAACTTCAGATAACACAGCAGTTGCAGTGCCTCAAAATACAGGGGTCATCTCATCTGTTGGTAACATAGATGCCCCGTCAAGTCTTTCTTTAGAGTTCAAGCTAAATATACAATTTGGACAGAGTAGAGCACCTGCATTACCATCACCACTCACTCACATCACGACTGAACAAACTATATCCAGCCCCCCACAAGCACCAGCAACAGCGCCCCCTGTCGACAGAAATGAGTTTACAAAAAATACAGAAATGTCTGAAGTTGGGGTCCAAGTGGTAGAGGAAGAAACCAAGCAAGAAAATGATGCGCAGCGATCTGAAATTTTAATGTCAGAGGCGGCAGTCCAAGCCACTGAGACAATTGAAGAACCAGATATAAAAGACACTTAAAAATGAAGAGTCAATGGATGTTGGAATACAGGGTGCTGAAACTGAAGAACTGATTAATGACATAACACCTATCGAGATTACCAAAAACAAAACTGTTTTGATGGATGTCAGCACCCAGTCCACAGAAATATCTGAGCAAAATGAAGAAGTCAAAACAGAAGAAATTGCATTAGCTGACAATCAACCAGTGTTGATTGATGCTGGTACCCAATCCATGCACCAAGAAGAGATCTATGACAACATTAAAACAACAAAAGAGGAGATTTCTATTATGCAAATAGCTGAAACAGTGCAACCAGAACAAGACACTGAGGAAAAAAGAGTTGTACTAACTGAGCTGGTTGTTCTTCAAGTTTCTGAGTATCAGAGCAAACAAACAGAAGATGAAGACGAGAACCAAGACATATGGATGGACGCAGAAGAAGATATCAATGCTCAAGAACAAACAATAGTGCCCCAATGTGAGATTGAGGAATCTTTTGAAAGTCAACCAGATTATTTCCAAGAAACACAAACTGATTTTGAACAAAGTCTAGAAGACATAAAGAAAATTGCTCTCAAGTGTGACATTGACAGTGAGGGAGAAGATTTTGCAGTTGCACTTGAAGATCCCCAAATTGAAACAGCAGTTACTACAACTGAATGGGATTAAATCAGCTATCAACAGGCAAGTCAGCTTTGTTTTTTTATATACAAAAGAAAACAATCCACAAACTGATTAAACATTGATTTTTTTTCAGGTTTCGTGAATCATCAAGGAAAACACACATTAATAGCGAAGCCTTAAAATCTGGAAGATACACAACGGGAATTAACCAATCAACTCTGATGATCACTGTGGCTCAGACTGCAGCTTCTCTGCTATCTTGCACATTATACATACAGTCCCAGTTCTGAAGGTGATGAAAATGCCAGTCCAAGATTAAATATTTACTCCCAAATATAATCTATTTAATTTAATTATGTGGCAAATCAAAATTAGCCTTGACTAGAGCTTGGCTGGACAGAACAACAGAATATGTCAGTTTCCTTGAATTTTAGTTATGTTACATATAATAAGACTTTAATTGGAAACGTTAACAGGAAAAAGCTCTCAGGGGGACAAAGTTTGACACTGTACTACACCCTTCATGCTGTGGCCTCCTTTTTATTATTATTTAACTGCTTTTGCATAGAAAAATGCACCATTGCTGCAGTCTTACAAGCAGTTTGTGGGTAAATAAATTTTATTTTACAGAAACTACATACTCACATCAGATATGCCTTACATTATGGCCAGTGACCACAAACCTTTACCATTATAATTCGTGTAACTCTTTCAGATCATCTAACTCTTGTGCTCTTTCATTTTTCTTTTGCCTTTTACCTTTCATTAATACAACAAAATATCACTATATGAACTTCACTGTGTTCCATTCACATTGTGTCAGTGGTCATAATGTAATGCCTAATTGGTATAAATCTGTATTTCTTGACATAATTATGCATTCTAGCAATGACTACTTTTGTAGATATCTAACATTATACCTGTCTATACAGAATTACAAACACGGATAATATTCAAAATACACTGAAGTAGACAACTGTATATTTAAATGTACATTACTGCTTTGCTGCATATTCTAAAACGCACCTTTTGCTCTTAAGACATTTTCTACATTTTTAACCATTCGGCAGTATATATAATAAAATATATATATATGCAGAATCTATTGTAACCACAGAATATTTACAAAGCCTTAACAAAAAAATATTATGCTTTGTTTTGTATAGTTCAATACTGGGTCAAATTCATCAACAGCATTTTCTGAAAAACTAAAATACACAGAACAAGCCTTACTCCATATGACAAAGGTTTATTGATGAAATGTTTTTCTTTCAATAAATGACATTATATTGTAACATGGTCTGAATTTGTGAGTTTTTAAACAATACAGCAGTGGATACAGTAATCTGTTCCCTATTACAGTAAATGTCGGATTTCCAAATAGTATTAACTGATTCAAGCACAAAATTAAGAGCTGTAAAAATATTCACCAATGCATTTACATATTCAATAGATTATGGGCATGTGTATTATAGAATCACGCAAAAAACAATATCTTATTTTTCTGTCTTATATTTTTCTCTGGTTTTACAATCCCCTTGAGTATAATTTTTTTTATAAAAAAAAAAAATATTTGAGCACTTACACTGGACAAAATTAACAGTAACATTTCAAATATTTATTTTTAAAGTTGTTCCCATCCACAACTTTGCAGCATTCTTCACTTGGGCGAGTGATTTTTAGAAAATCATACGTACCAGTTCAAACATCACCTGAAAAACATAGCACATTTTCAATACACTGTACACTGTCTGCATAAGCAAATTGTATTTATGAGGATTCATTTTATAATTGAACAATTAAAGTCCCCTCAATCAATCCAAAATGTTAATAAACAAAAAAAGTAACAGTGAACTTTTGGCTTTCTTTGGAGAAAATGTATGTGTGCACAATTACTAGGCAACTATTAATGTGCAGAATTAAAAATGAACATTTTCCATTCTCACTTGTTTATTTTCCTCTGTCAGAATAGTAAACAACTCAAAAAGTACAAAAAAATAAACAAACAATCTGTGAACAATGTAGTGGTGAATGTAAAAATCAGTGACCAATAATGGTTATAAGCCTTCCATTCATGGAGTCTGTCAGTTTCTTGAGCTGTTGATGATCAACTTTTTGTGCAGCAACACCCACAGCCTCCCAAACACTGTTCAGAAAGGTGTCCTGTTTTCCTTCACTGTAAATTTGGCCACAGGGCCATGTCACTATTTTTTTTTATCTTTAAGCTTAACCTTTACTGGCTAGCCATGCAGCTGAGTAATTTGATGCATGTGATGGAGCATTGCCCTGCATAAAAATCATGGTCCTCTTGAAAGATGCAGACATTTTGTACAATTGCTTGAAGAAAGTGTCTTCTAAAAACTGGCAGTAAGTTTTGAAGTTCATTTTAAGTCCATCTTCAACCCCAAAAGGTCCAACAAGCTCATATTTAATAATACCAGCTTATAACAGTCCCCCACCTCCACCTACCTGATACCTGAGTCGAAGTGAAGCTCTGCGCCCATCACTGATCCAGCCACGGGCCCCTCCATTTGGTCTGTCAAGAGTCACTCTCATCTCATCAGTCCATAAAACCATTGAAAAGGTTGTCCTCAGACATTTCTTGGCCCATTCTTGACATTTCAACTTATGTTTTTTGTTCACTGGTGGTTAAGTTGAAATCCAACGTGCCTTCCTTTCCTTGGTCATGTCTCTGAACACTGAACACCTTGCACTACTTGTATAATTTTTGACTTTTTAGAAAAGGGTGACCAGACTAGGGTGACCATATTTGCATGTGTCAAAACCAGAACACTGTACAGGAAGTGGGAGGTGGGGCCTCATCATTGACATTGAGCTACTCTCACCTGGCAAAGCTTTTGAATGTTTTTCGGTGTCCTGATGAGCTCTGAGGTCCCTGGCACCGCCACTGGACACTGAAACATATGTGCCTGCTTTGTACACTGTGCACATGTCCTCCCACTTGTCTCGACCGGGACGGAAAGCGGGGAATTTCTTGTACAAGTCATCGTTAAATGACTGCACTTCGGCATGACCAACTGTTTGTGTCTGCTCGCTCCTTCTGAGTTACAGAAAGCTACGAGAGCTGCTCAGTTTAGTCAAAAGATAATGAAAACCTGGACATTTGCATCATTTTATGAAAAAAAAACCCCAAAAAACTCTGGACGGCCAGGACAGGACGCGGAAAACGGACATGTCCGGGGAAAAATGGACGTTTGGTCAATCTAGACCAGACCTCCCGAAAAATTCAGGACAGTCCCGAAATCAAAGCTATTGTCCTGAATCCTGAATCTAGCCCTAAATGTCCCAAAAATTACACTCAGAATGAACACTGAGTAGTTATTTTCTGATAAACACTAAAAACTGTATGAAGAGAGGTTGAGTTGACTGCATGCAGCCCTGACTGCTGCTGACAGAAGCCTTCAGGGGCTACGTGTTGCCTAAGTGGCTTAGTGGCTGGCCCATTTTGCCTGAGGAAAAGGAGCTGCCTAATAATAGTGCACACCTTGATATAAGGCATTGATCTCCCTAGGCCACACCCTCCCTCATTAGACAAATACACATAACCTGATATGCTTAAATCCAATAAGTTTATCCAATAAACCCAATAAAGTTTGTACAACTTGGAGGTGGAGAATATGCATAAATATCTTGAAATGGTCAAAATACCCACTTGCCACAGTGTATGTATTTAGAGTGTGTGTGATAGTGTGAAATTGTACCTCGATGGTGATAAGAATGACTATCATCCACTCCAGTCTTAAGCTGTGCTTCTCACTCAAGTGGCTCCTCATCAGATCAGTCAACTGGGTGCAGTGCTCCAGCTTCTCATTCACCACCTGCAACAGCAAACCAATGTGGGATAACAAAACACAAAGAGGAACATGTATTTTATTATGGGCTAAACCACTATTGGACCAACAGAGCAACAATTTGGTTAACCAGCCAGTCCCTTACACGTCTCAAATGGAAATGGACCATTGAGCGTGAAAAATCTCTTTCCTAACTTGGGACAGTCCACAGCCACTAATTTGTAGCACAAATCTCTCAAAGATAGAAGATAAAGATAGAAGATATCTCCTCTTGAAAATTCTTGTATCATTCAGAACAAAATATATAACTTCTATTACAAGAAGTAAATAACAATTAAGTGCTTCAATTGTTGAAATCTGTGCTGTCCTCAGTCCTCTGTGAAGACAAATATGGCAGTTTTTACTCCTAAACTGCCAGAGCATGCATCACTCTGATTGGTTAATTCGCCTGTCAATCACACCCTCTGATATCAGGGAGACAGGATACAGCTCCAGAGCAACTTGTCTTTGCAAAGTTTTGTCAAAGTTTTGTCAAGAGTTTTGACAGAGTTTTGTCAAAGCGTGTGGTTCTGGCTGGCCAGATAACCAAATAATAGGAGCAAACAATGGAACTATTTACATAATTTAACTCCATAACATGACTTTTTACATATCACAAAATTATTCATTCAAATAAAAATGAAACCATATAATTTCAACAACAGTAAGAACTTACATTCACTCTGCGATTGATACTGAGAAACTGACATGTTTTATCATAAAGCTTTTCCAAATTTTCTCTGTCCCAGTAGAAGTCAGGCGTCATGAGCAAATCAGACCTCAGGTTTATACAGTGTCTGAAGTAAACAAAACAAACAAAAAACAGAAATAATGTTGTTAATGCTGTGTAAAAATATGTAACAAAGGCTCAAAACTATACACATGCGACTGATAAACCAGTGCAAGACATGCTAGGATAACCAAGGACAACAGATATCAAGTGGAAAACTACTACTTAACCATTGGCCTGGGCCCCAGACCAAGAGGGTTATCTCCATTTAAATGCTACACACGGCGAATTGGAATGGACCATTAAACACACAGGCCATCTTAAGTGAATTGTCTAAATCTAATTATTTCAGTGTCCCTAGCTGATCTTTCAGTAATAATTGGCAAGAGCAGGCTTTCTGTAAAACAGGTTGTAAACCAAAATAGTTGTTGTTATGTGATTGCGTGTTTTAAGAGCTATTTAAAAATAAACCATTTTACCTGAGTGTGAAAAGTTCTCCTATCTTTCGCATAACTTCTGCAGAGGACAGCTTTACTCTTTTGCCAGACTTCAATGTCTGAATGAGAGAGAAAAATTAGGTCTACAGCCATAACTAATGTGTCTGAAGAATCCATCTCACATGCATGCCCTGCTCTCACAACATTACACACAGTCAATGTTGTAGCTGCTGCAACCTCTTAGAGCTTACTGTACCTCCGGGATTGATTGAATTGACTCTACAAAGTTGTCCAAAGCCACCTCCCAAATGGCTAGCTTTACTGTAATGAAGACACAGCAGTTACTGGTAGAGAATAAATAAATTTGTTTTATTTTTTACAAACATTTGTCTTTCATTTTGCTTTGTGTGAAAACGGATGGTATGACTCATTTCATTTGAGTGTGTTTCAGCTATTGCCCTAGTTTCTTCATATACTGAAGAGATCTAACTGACTAATTTGACCAATTAGATAAAACATGAGCCATTTGGAACATCTTATTTCTCTGAACTGCTAACTAGCCCCAGATTATACAGATTTTTGCTAAATTTGATAATAAGACATCAGTAAACTTCTTAAGTGCTGCTTCAAATTAATTAATTTCAGTCAATTTAGTCAGAAACAGATCTTAAAGCAACAGAGACTAATTATGTATGGTATTGTATGGATTCCCTGCTCAATTTATTGGCAAATTCTTTTAAGAAGTAACCTTTTGTGTTTAACTTGATCTTACCTGACAAGCATAGGGCATTTGAAAAGGCAAATTTCTCTAAAACAGCTTCTTGTTGTTCCATCTGGTCACTTAAAACAAAATTGCCACGCTCCAATTTAGTATTTCCCCTGGAGGAAGGCCACATTTTAGAGATTTTTACCGCAACTGTGAACAATCTGACAAAACAGTATCATTTTACATACTCTCCAACAGTGTAGTTAATCTCTTCGTTCTCCCAGTGCACTAATGCCACTTCATAAGGCTGAATCTCATGACGTTCCAATACCCGCAGCACTCTTTTAAGCTAAAAAAACAACAAAACATCACAACATTTTCACAACACTGTTTATTTTGTGTAATAAAGCATGCAGATTTCTTACGGTTTTATCCTCAACATTCCAGAAGACAACAGAACCTTCTCTGAAATGGAGGATTTGACATGTCATTCAAAATGGCAAATGCCTGGAATGTTCTTAGGTGTCCCATTAAATGTATCTATCTAGCATTCACACATCTGACCTGTAAGGTAGCTTAATAGAGTTATGTCACCTGCTTGTCTCCATGGAGATAGATAAATTTTATGACATTTTTGGAACATTTCAGGCATTGCAAACGCATCTCTATGGGGACATGCAGGAGTAGATCTCACAGAAAAGTTATATAGTACACCTTTAAAAGTAGGTAAACTATAGATTTTACCTGAAGAAAAATATGAGTGCATTATCATCGGGTTTTGCAGCCATGTCAGTGCTTATAACCAAGACATTGGAGGCATCTGAAATAAAATAAGAGTAGTTTAAGAATATATGCCAGAAGGGGTTAAAAGAAAGACCTTGGAAAAACCTGCTCTGAAATAGAACTGTACCAGTGGTCTCACAACAATATCAACTTTTTCTTCTTAGAACTAAATATTGTTAACAACTTTATGAACACAAAATGACAAAAGATTTAGTATGTTTTCTTTTAAGTTATTATAAAATTGTACCTCTTGGTAAATCAATCTCCTGAAAACCATTCCCAATTAAGTCATGGCAAAGTGTTGGTAAGTGGTATTGGTCAGCCGTTGCAAATGCTATACACTGCATCATATCCTAAAAGAAGAAATGCATCTCAGTTTTAATTCAATATAAAATGTGAATATATATTAGCAAGTATCTATCTGCAGTTTACCTGGTCCTCTGTTTGTGAAGGCTGGTTGGATCTGGATGGTTGCTTGGTCCTTGGTCCTTTTGGAACTCTTTTGGCAGGGACTACAGCAGGTTTTATCGTAGATTTCAAAACAGTCTTTACAAGCTCAGGCGAGTAAAAGCGCCTTTGTTCACTATGGCAGTTTGCAAATATCCCATGATGCATCAATAAAAAGTTAGTAGAACTGTGACTGACAGCTGTGGAGGGAAAAGTGTGCTGTACATGCCCTTGCTGGTGATCTGAGTGTGAGTAAATAGTCCTTGACAATGTTTGTAAGTTGGAAAAAGTTGTACGTTTAGGTTCACATCTGTGAAGATGGTTAGAACAGGAAGAGGCAAACAAACAAAGAGGGGCTGATTGTGTAGAGTGAAGGGGTCCCAACTTTTTCCACAATGTCCGGAGCATTTTGAAGACAGGTTCAGACCAGAACAACTAAAACACATAGAGAAAAACAAAACAAAACAAAACATATTGGTACTATATTGTCACTCATTCAGTAAATTCTAGGCTTAAGGATAACTGTGCCCAGAAGGTGTAGCATCAGGATTTTTTAAATATTCAGTAACTTCAACAACAGATTATAAACTAAAGGCCAATACAATTCTCACAACAGCTCACTGAACTCTAGCCTACATACTCATTATAAACCACATTCTTCCTGACTGGACCTATGCTGTTGTTGTAGAAAGAGAGTCGACTTTGAATTAAAAGACAAAATATTCCACTGCTTGTGACCCAAGCCTGCTGGTAACATTGAGAAAAATGTGACAGTTCAGTTTGCGTGAATCTTACCTGTAAAAATATTGGCACACGGCGCCACAAAACAGATACGTCTTACATTAAAACGTTGTTTATATTTTTTCCTTTGGTAAAGAAATAAACGCAAAAGAAAATGTGCAGGCATTTGTTGTTATAGCACAAGCTTCATGACAGCTCGTGGAGCGAGCAGGCGTGTTTGCGATTACATCACTTCCGGTATTGTAAAATGTTCCTGAGTTTAACCCGATAGGCAATAAATAAGATTTTTTTTACGAGAGAAAATATGTGTATTTCTTTATTTTATCCATAATTTTATATTTATTCATATTATACACTTATATTTCATGCTTTATACATGATTACATATTTTTAAATGAGAAAGTCAAGTAAAATAGCTCTGCCAAAACTCGGGTCATAAATATTCCCGTTTTTCCTGTCAACGTGACCTTGGGATTTTTATTTTTTTAATGAAACTTGATTCATTCACAATAATAACATAATTTTGTATATAATTTTGCTTTAACGTGGTTATTTTAATGCCCTTTAATATTTAATATATATAATTTCCTTTTACATCCCTAGTCCTCGTAACCATGTGATTACAGCGCCCTCTCTGGTGAATCCTGGTAGAACTTATGTTTGGTGTTGCTTGGAGACTTTCCTAAAACTGCAACAGTGCAATTTAGTACACCTTCAACTATGGACCCACATGAAGAGGTAGATATGCTGAAAACAGGCTTTTCATTTATATCTAATTAATGGGCAAAGCTAATTGTTGTTAAATGTTTCTTCTCAAATTCCAGCACATATATTTCCAAAGAGTGCTGGTAAATGTTTGTCTGGTTTATGGTTGTATGAACAGGGTGACCAGTGTAATGAGCGTGAGAGGCTTAAGATGAGAATAGCCCTTCTGGAGGCGAGTGTGAAGTCCTGTGAGTTGGACTGTAGATCCAGCAAAGAGACGATCCACAGGCTCATGTCAGAGCTGGACCAGGAGAGGAGAAAGTCAGCCAACTCTGCAGCAGCCCTGGACTCATTTAAAGTGGTATACAAAATACAGTAATGGGCCTTTTAATATTTTATATTAAAGTAAGCCAATAACTGAGAAGTACCTTGTATTGCAGAATACAGTGACATACAATAGCCTGTTGGATTTTGTTATGACATCAGTGGTGCTAGCCTGTTACTATGATCAACAGTGCACTCTATGAAGTTACTTAGGTAATACATGAGCGTAACAATGACATTGCTAAGTTTTGAGTTGATATTGAATATTACTCTTACATTTTACTAGTTTTTTGTCTACCTCATATGAGATTTAAATTAATTTCTTCCAACTTTTTCAAAGTTTTCACATTTCTCTATCTTGGCTTTATTAATATCATTGTCCTAAGACAGCAATTTTTTAATCTTAGGAATATGATTCCCTACTATCTGGAAAGCGAAGCACTGAATCAGAAAAGCAGACTTTGTTAGAACAGTTAGAAGCTGGTAAAAGAGTGATCAACGCCGCCCGGAAGGAGTCCCAGTGTCTGGAGAAACAGGTGCAGGAGCTGGAGCGTAAGCTCCACATCAGCCAATCAGAGACAGATGCTTCTCAGAGACGACTGCACTCGTTTTTAAATAAAGTAATAAAAGTTCTGCAGAGGGGCTCAACAAGCACACTCCTGTCCACAGAGAATGATATGGGAATGAACATGGAGGAGGTGTGCAATAAGGCAAGTATAATTATTATGATTTTTTTTTAAATATCACACTTTCTAACCAACACTACTAGTAGTAGACTATCTTGGTTATTAAAGTTGCACCATGTAACTTTTCTGATGGAGGGTCTGCCATCTGCTAGGAGGAATTTTCCACAGAATGGCATTAAACTTACCTATCTTGCATTTATTTTTATTAAGGGTGTTTTTTGGCTAAAAAATACAACTGTTTCTAAATGTGAATGAGCTCGTTTCACCACAGATCTGACCAGCGGCCTGGTGGTGCTATCTGCTTGTCTCCATGGAGACATAGTTAAATGCCATTTCAGACCAAGCAATAACATCTGCATAGAGACAATCAGAAAATAATAGCTTTAAATATATCTAAATAATCCACAACCTTTAAATTTCCTTGTTTTTCATGTGTCTTTGTTGCACAGTAGCATTTTAGACCCAGTGTCTGTTTGGATCTCTCCAAAACTGTACATTTCCTGAAGAAATCTATTCCAAATAGATTTTACCACCCGCTCTTTCTTTGAATGACTTGAAATTATATTTTCTTTCCTCTCAGACTGTTTCAGAGATGGAGACAAGACTGATCCAAGTGTCTGTGGAGCTCAGTGAACAGATCGAGCTCCATCACAGCACTCTGCAGAGGGCGGAACTGGCCGAAAACCAGGCTCAGGACCTGAGAGAGCGACTGCACAGACTGGAGACTGAGCTACTGACAGTGGACACACACCGAGACGGACTTTGGCAAGACAAACAACAGGTAAATATATCATCAAAAATATATTTAAATTCACATAGTAATATTAATCCATTTGTTTTTTTTTTGTTTTTTTATAGTATGAAGAGTTCCTGGAGAAGCTCTCGGAGATCTTGAAGGTGGAAACTATTGCTCTGGATGTGGGCTTCGATATGAGACTCAAGTTAATACTGTCCAGAGCAGAGCAGCTGATGAGACAAGAGGGCTCTGCTTTAATTGAGAGCAAGTCCCTCACCTACAGCCTACAGAGGAAGGTAACTAGGACAGGAGATATGTGTGATTATCTTAAATATGTGTCAGACTTGTTATCTAACCTGAATATAATACAATAGGAGATAAAACACTGCATCCTTGTGAGAATGCCATTTGTGATGAAATAGAATAGGTTTACTGGTAAATGCCTTCTTTTTCAAGGTTTTCACATTTCCTTATCGGTCTTGGTGTCCTTGACTACATTGCTGCTTATTTTATAAACCTTCTGGTGATATTGACAGCATTCTCCTAAGACTAAAACACCAATCTTTCTTATTCAGTCTTTAATTTACCAGGGAAACATAAGAATATAAATATATAAATGTCATGTTTTTAGCCTACTTGATATTACTTTCAAATACATTCTTCTTCTTTGTCATGAATTTTATATTTCAATATGGAGAAGCTGATTTTCCACTTGACCTGAATGTCTCAACAATGTTTCCTTCTGAGAACACCATTTGCCCTTGATCCTCGTAGTTAAAATCTCAGAAAGACCAGTTGGAGAGCAGAAGTTTGCACATCCAGCTTTTGAGGAAGAAAGTTCTGGAGCTGGAGGAGGAGAGGAGGAGCAGGACTGCACTAGCCATTCAGAGGGAGGATGCCCAGGTCGAGAACAAACGACTGCAGAAGAAAGTGGAGAGACTTCAGTCGGAGCTCCGAGCCACGAGACTGTCCACCACCGAGCTCAAGACCCAGCTGAGCCACACCCAGGAGCTGAAGGTACAGGGCATAGGAGTACGGCCAGGCTCCAGCTCCAGAGGACTATACACTGCATAGAGACATATGTAGACCCGCTAAAACACATCCCTAATACGCAGTTTGATACGAAACAGCATGCATTGATAATCCTGTTGCTTATTCATGTGTAGGGCTGCAACTACACTAATCGGGATAATTGTGACTAGTCGACTATTAAAATAACTGTCACTGTGAAATAAAAATGTAAACATCAAATAAATAATCTCTGCTTTACATCAATTGTACACTTTATATGTAAATATTTTCAATTTAGAAGGATGTTTAAACCATATTTAAACCTAAAAATCTCAGTATTAAATTGAAATGGACTATCTAGAGAGATAGATAGATCGAAAAAAAACAACCAAAAAAAACACTGACTAGTCAAGTAATTGTTGCAGTCCTATACATCTTTGCCAGTGTACTATGCTTCAGAAAGAGCTTACCTCTGAGGGGGAATTTGATTGTCTAGAAACACTCTTTATAATGGCTATAAGTAATCTGCTATCTGTAAAATAAAAACACAAAATATGGTGTCTGTTGTGTCTGATGGATTAAGTTAAAAGTGAAGGAGCAGAACCAGACAGTGCAAGAGCAGAAGAAGAAACTGGACCAGCTGGAAGAGAGAAAGGTCAAAGTGGAGAAGAAACTAACCTCTGTGACCTCTGACCTGGAAGTAAAAGACAGAAGGACTAAGGAGGACCAGCAAGAGCTCAACATTCTGAGACAGAGCCTGAAGCTGCTGTCTGAGAAGGAGAGCAAGGTAACAAGGGAGTAACACTAAAATTACAGTGTCCTATTGTTTTTTGTATATAATAAACACTTAATTATTTCCTTTAGACATGTCTCTTTTCTCACAATAGTTGGCAGATTTTCGCACAGATGTTTCCCAGATGCTCGGTTTGGACACCTCTTCTGGAGATGTCTCTAATCATGAAGTCCTCCAACTCCTGGACACTTCTCTTCATCATCATCACCATCACCACCACCTGTTTCCCTGTGATGGGAGGCCTTGGCTCTGTCCCACTCACCAACAGAGGGCGCCTCAAAACCAGCATCACCCTGGATCTTCAATAGATACATCTACAGCAAGATCCCATAGTCTGAACGACTCTGGTATTGCTTTCAAATAGCACATCTTATCAGTAACTTTGCCTTATAGCCCTCTCCATTTAAAATAGATTTGGTTTGGTCTCTAAATTCTTCATTTTAAACTGCAGATATGAGGAAATAACTAGATAATTTTACCAAACAATTTAAGAAACTGTGTATTAAAAATATGTGAAAGACAAACAATGCATACATGTACAATACTTGAACCTTGACTTAAATTGTCATGATAATTTCAGATTTTTACTATGGGGCTACTTTCTCTGTAGACTGTAATACTAGTGAAAAGGAGTACATTACCTCAAGACTGTAGTATGGGTAATGGGTGAAATAATAAGCCAGGTATCAAAATAAGGATTTGGCATTCATTGTTTCTGTTCGCATGTACATACAGTTACATTATATACTTTTCCATTATATACAGGGTATAATATATTGCCATACATTTCATCAACAGTCATACAAAATATACAATACTTCTATATGTTATAATCTCACAGTCATATTTCATGTTAAAAAATAAAATGTACAAACTTCATGAATGACTGGCATTTCACGATTAGTTTCATGAGTTAAAAATGGACACAGACAGTGAAGAAAGTGATTAAAAAGCAACCCGTGTGACTGACTGCATGCCAAAATACAGGTACAAAAATAAATGCAATGTAAGGTATATTCAATGTTTCTGTACAAATCTCAGTAACAAGCAGAGTCACAGGCTATAGCAGTTCAAACTTTGGTGCTACTCCATTTGAAGACATAACATTCAAGACAGCTGAGGTTAATGGGAAGAGATGTTTGGTTCGTTAAGAAAACCCATTGTCTAAACACAGCAGTAGTCGGATTAAGGTTGCACAATATATTGCAAAAAGATTCGTATGTCGAGTGTCAAAACTGCATGCAGGCTAAACGTTTGAACTGGTAGAAGCAAAACAGAAAAGGTTTGATATTGATTTACATAATCAGACATGAATTCTTTCCAATTCAGGGTTATACAGGCACTATTTTATGATTTAGCAAGTCATGTTACAATAATTTTACAGACACAAAGGATAAAGTAAGTTTAAATTATAGGGATGCACCAGGGAGCAAACCACAGCACACTACAGATTTGTCAAAAAGGAAATAATAACCAGTAAAAAATATGATGAAAATGGTCAGTTTGCATGTTTTGACATATTGTGCAGCCCTAATTCTTCAGCACAGCATAACATGAAGGTAAAAAATGGGAAATACTTCCAACATTAAAGGGAATTTCAACATGATTTGAGCAGAGAATACTGAAATATAAGATCAGTCTATACTGGTGGTGGGCCGTTTCTGTAGCTGAGCATTGGGTAAAGTGAATGAGCAAAGTTATTGGACTGGGCACAGTACTCCTCCTCCGTCATGGGCAGCATGAAGGCCAACAGCACTAACAGCAGCAGGATGACCTGGAACGGCAGCGCCACCCACAGGACGCGCCTCATGAACGACCTCTGACCCCAGGAAGTAGATTCAGAGGAATCAGAAAGGGAGGAAGCGGACCCAGCGCCGTGATACCTGCTTGCAGACAAAACAAGCCATAGATTACACTTAGCCACAGTTAAACAAGGCAATTTGCTAAAGATATGAAAGAATTGTGCATAATTTTATTGTATTAAAACATAAAAGATAGTGGACTATTGTGGATAGAAGGCTTTAAATCTCACTGTGGTATATTAGTCCCACAAAAAAATTTGCAGAAGAAATAGGTCAGGAAGACTATACCTGACATTGACAAATATAATCAAAAAAATGCATAATCCTTTTAAATTTTATTTTTAAGGGTTTATGTGTAACCAGTAGCAACTACAGCCTAAATAATAATTTCAGTCTATCTAACTAAAATAACAACAAAACAAATTTGGCTAAATAGAGTTACACTCTAATTTATTCAGAATGTGCTGAAAAGTTCAATCCAAATAAGACGAAAGACATGCCTAACATGGTTCAAGGCAATGTCAGTTTAACATTGTGAAGTCCATGCTGTCCGACTGATACAGACATGTATGGAGACAGTCACATGACAGTTTCCAAGGCAAATGAATACACGTACGAGCTTGCATTCATCTGCTGAGTTAGGGAAGAAGACAAAAGCATGCTGCAACTCTGAGCAGTTTATAAATCATTACAATACATTTTATGCTTTACATCCTGTAGAAAAGTGCAAACGCATGCTAAGGCAAGAAAAGCACAGCACAGTTTTGAAGATAAAATTCTGTTTGTTAAAATCACCATCGCCCTCAGAAAACTGCCTCAAAGGAAGTTATTATTATCAGTCAGTAATGCTGGTTTAAATGTGACAAATGATTAAATATGAATGGATACATATTGTAGTGTATCTATGAAGTTACCAGAAGTGCCCCTTACCACTGAGAGGCTAGACTCACAGATGACAGACTGAGGGGAGATGGTGGAGAGTCAGTGAAGTAGCAGCAGAAGAAAATGTCAAAAGAGAAAGCGATAGAAAGTGAAGCGATTGTATTGTTCATTGCAGACATTACTCGGCAATCTGAGGAAAATGGCTGTGTGTGCTCAGTAACAGCCAAAAAGAGGTTAGGAGTAAAGTGGAATTGTTGAAGTAGTTGAAGTAGTTTTGTCAGCGATATTAAGCAAGAAGAGGGCTTGCACATTTCATCTTTTAATGTTTGACCTACTACCTCTCAGACAGCAGCAGGAGGTCGACAGAGGGACATTGGCTTTGGTGTGACAAAAACTGTCACCAGAATAGATCAACAATATATAAAAACATACATTCAAATTACAAAAGAAAAACATGTACATCCATTGATGTATAAGGCCTGTCTAAACTTTTCTTATAGTATTGTCTTGTCAACTTTGTTTAGTACCTTGAGACAGTTCATGGTTAACAAGCAAGTAAGTAATTTTGATATTTCATAGGACTAAAATCTAATTCTATGTACGCTACTGGTCAAAGGTTTTAGAGCACCACACTTTTTCCATTTTTTTCTGTTTATTGTGTCATTTCACTCTGAAATGAAAGCATAGAAAAAATAAGCAATTTGAGTTGAAAAATAAATCATTGAATCAATTAATAGACCAAAACGTATTGTAAACTTTTGATTCATCAAAGTGCCCACCTTTGGATATAGATAAAACTGAACACAGCTGAACACACTTGTGGTATTCTTTCTACAACAGAAATATTCTTCAAAAAGTTCTTCCCAAGTCTGTTGCAGAAGTTCCCATAAATGTGTGGCACTTGTAGGTTGTTTCACTCTTCTGTCCATTTCATCCCAAACCAGCTCGATGGGGTTTAAGTCTGTGACTGTGCTGGACACTCCATTTTTTCAAGCTCACAATCTTGTTCTTTTTTCCTGAGGTAGTTTTGGCAGAGCTTGGACTTGTGTTTTGTTATCTTTTATCTTTTTTTTAACCTCTGGCTGTTTAATACTTACCTTTGTACCATTTCAAGCACTTCATTGGAATTGCATGACTTGAATTGCCATAAATAACTCGAAAAATGAGGGTGTTCTAAAACTTTTGACCAGTAGTGTATGCAGTGTTTATCTCTATATGGGTGGTCAACTTTTGCCATCCTTCCAGCATAGAATGAAATGGCAAAAAATACAATACAATTAACCAAAACCTACCTCTAAGTATGATGTAATTTTGAATCTAATCTAATTTTGTTGTACAACTTGCGTCTATAGCAAATAAAAAAATATATTTTAAAAAATTACTTTCGTGGTATCTGCAGACTACCTATATAGAGCTCAAACTAGTTTAGTTCGGCTTTCTAAACAGCCAGTCACTCCAGGCAATCGAATAAGTGAATATATATGTTCTTTGGACCAGCCTCTGATCCCACTGTCCACTTTCCCCTGCTGTCTGTCTCACCTCCCTAACTGTAACACAGGGTCTAGACGTGCAGAAGATGATGGAAGTCACTGTCATGCGCATTTACTCCACAAAACCATTTCTCCGAAGCATCTACAAACTCTGTCATCCAGATTTTTAAACAAATATTCTCCTCCCAGTGGATCATGGGTGATTTCCATTATCTTCTGTGTGTGCTAGAAACCAACAGACATGTACCTTAGGTGTTGACTGCTCACAGAAGCTCCGGGCTGTGACACCCTACTTTTGCCCCGTTGCTGTTTGCAATGAACAGGGGGGAGGGATAAAAGAAAGAAAGTATTTTTCAGTCCAGGCAAATTATGAACAAAGCTATCGATGAACCCCAAATAACAAGAAGCAAATGATGACAAAAGATGATAGCTTTTGGATATTAGGGAATAATTTTTTCAAAGTGCAATACAACTTTGAATATATGTTATACAAGGTAGTAGTAGTGGCATGCTTATTTGGACTGATGCTTAGATTAAATTAAAATGTTAATATGCTTGGTTTATAATAAAATACATTATCAAATTAGACTTTTGTAAACTTAGCTTGTAAATTTTTTCCAGTGTTTCAAAGAACAGTTAGATCAAACCAAATTAGGACCGATTAGAGGAAAGAAAGATTTGCAGGACAGACATTTGGAAAAAAGAAAGAGCTGAAATTAAAGTTTAAAGAATAATTTGCAATAAAATAAGATTTAATATAAACATCTAAGAGGAAGGTGGAGAAAAATAGGAATTTGTAGAACTTGAGAGATAGGAGAGGAAGTAGGAAAGTAAAGCTGATGATCACAGAAGTGGTTCTCAAACTAAGAAATCAATAATACAATAAAGTTAAAAGGGACTAAACAAAAAATACCAAGAAAACCAGAACCTGTTCTTAACTGCATATAAGGCAAGACAAAAGATAGCAGCACTACTAAACTAAATAATCTGCACTAAGAAAACAAAGGCAGGCTAACAGTGTATATTCAAAACATAGGTTAAATGATACCATTCTTTGTAACACTGTTGGTACTTGCCCCACAGTTTGAGAACCACATGTGTAGAGAGATGCAGTAAGGAGGAGAGATTTGGGGATGGAAGAGGTAGGTGGATCTGGCCTTCAGGGGGGCATTCAGGGGCACAGGTTAAAATCATTACTAACAAAACAAGCCAAAAATTCACCAATAATCCCAGATTTGAACCAGAGAAAAAATGCAGTTTTTGTGGGTATGTTTGTTACCGATCGCCGTCGACTTGGTGTGCTCCTTCCTGAGACCGGGCTGAGGGATCCAGAGGTGTCCAGGTCATCCGCAGAAGACCAGGAGGACAAATCCTGGTATAAAGGAAAAATGTGTATTGTAATGTCAATTTGATCGCAACTCAAAG